CACAGAAGCGGCAATGCAGCCGCAGAAGTGAGTCCGCAAAAGCGGACTCTTTGACCGCAGAAGCGAGGGAAGCCGCAGAAGCGAAGAGGAGCATCGCATATGCGGAGCCGCAGAAGCGACTAAGGACCGCAGATGCGAGGGATCACTAGGCAGAGAATTTTTTAATAAAAACGGGACTTGGCCCTTTTTTTTCCACCCTCTCTTGGTTGGGCGATTTTTGGAGAGCTTCAAGTGGGGGTTTTCATCATATATGCCAAGGTAAGTTATTCCCATCCATTGTAAGTTAAATACATGGTTTTTATATGGATTCAAGCATGAAAATTTATAGAAATTTAGGATTTTGAAGAAAAACCTAGAAATTGGTATTCTTGGATTTTGATCACAAGATTGGACATGGGATTTGGGATAAATTATATATTTGAGTTCCTAGTGTCATGGGTAAAGTTTATCTTCAAAAAATTTCGAAATCCGGGCACGTGGGTCTGAGGGTGATTTTATCGACTTTTCGAACGTAGTTAAAAATTATTGTAAATAGGATTATAATGAGTATTAGAGTATACCTATTTATGGATTTGCTCATTTATTGACTAGTTTTGGAGCGTTGGGCATCAAATTGAGTTGTTTGAAAGGCTTGGGAGCCGACTATGGAACTTCGGAGCGAGGTAAGTCTCTTTTCTAACCTTGTAAGAGGGAATTAACCTCATAGGTAAATTGAATTAATATTGGGGGGGGGGAGGGGGAGGGGGGTTCGTACGCACGAGGTGACGAGAGTCCGTACGTAACTACTAGTTATGCCTATGTTCGGGTAGTTTTAAGTTTACACCATGCCTTGTTGATACCATTATTTGATTATGTTTATTATTTGCCTTGAAAAAAATTGAGATCGAGTATGCTTATTAAATGCCTTGAAAAGAGTTGAAATTGAGGATTTCGAGACTTGAAAGTTTTCATTGAATTTCTTATTTTTTGAAAAAGAATTTAAGAATATTATAATAACTTAAGAAATCTATGTGCAACCACATCGCAAATATATTCTGCGAGAGGGGTAAATTTTCACTACTCTCATGGGAGCGGGCCATTCGCCTCTGCAGGTTAATAAATGTATCTATGGTTCGTGCCGTTCGACACTCGGCATTGCACAATTTATATTTATATGTTGGTTCATGCCGTTCGACCCTCGGCAGTGTACAGTTTATATTTATATATTGGATCGGGTCATACGACCTCGGCACGACTTGCGCATGATAACTCTTTGGAACTAATAATAATTGACACTGCTTTGTTGGCTTGAGATATAAATTGCTAAATGATGAAAATGAATTTGGAAAGTTCTATTAGTAAAAAGAATTGTTGATTATTTCGGTTATTGTATTTTCAGCTATGTTATGTATTTTATGCTTAAATATAAGATTGGCATTTTATTTTTAGCCCATAGTAAGTGTCGGAGTCGACCCCCCATCACTACTTCTTCGAGGTTAGACTGGATACTTACTGGGTACACGTTGATTTACGTACTCATACTACACTTGCTGCACATTTTGTGCAGGTACATATATATATATCTAGTGGCCTCGTGAGAGCAGAGACGTGGTTAAATGCGGGGACCTAGGTGAGCTACATTCCATATTACGACTCGCAGCCTGCAGAGTCTCCTTCAGAGTATTTATATTTTTTCTGTTCAATTTATATTCCGAATAGATGTTGTATTTTATTTTACTTCCTAGTTGATGTTCATGCACTTGTGACACCGGATTTTGGGGTGATTATGGGTTGTTTGGTATTGAAATTGTAAAAATATTTTTATTTACTCTGTAAAGTCCATATTTTATTATTAAATTGAAGAAAATCGTGATTTCAAATACTAAAATGAGTAGTTAAGTTAATTAATTATTGTTGGCTTACCTGACAGCGGTGTTAGGCGCCATCACGACGTATAATAGATTTTGGGTCGTGACACGATCAGAGGTTACACAACGTGAAGAAATATGGGGAGAGAGATGGAAATGGAGAGGGTTACGGGAAGAGAAAATAAATAAGTAGGATCTTTTGGGATTTGACTATATAATGCTAGTTTTTTTTTGGAATGCTAAAAATTTACCAAATTTCTATTATCTATTGTCACTCGATGGCAATTTTTCAAATATCGTAGTATGTTCTTTACGTTGAGATTGATTTACACAAATATCCCTTTTTAGGCCACTACAAGATTTTGTACTTATTTTAAAATTACGGAAAATGGCCAAAAATATCCTTAAACTGTCGGAAATAGATCACTTTTGCCCTCCGTTAGTTTTTAGTATAAAAAAAAGTCCTTGCCGTTAGTTTTTTGACTCACTCATACCTCTTACACTAACAGACCTACAACTTGGACTGAAAATAACTTAAAAATAATATACTTGCTGAGGTGGATGCTCATTTGGACAAATTTCTTAAATTTTATTTTATTTCGTTGTCTTCTTCCTTCCTCGTTCGTTCCAAACCTGATAAGTAGAGATACTTTAAACAAGATACCTACCACAACAACCAGGAAATTACTCCATCATCTTTCAAAATACTTACATACCTGCAAATTACTTATGCATTTTTCATCTTTGATTGCTAAACAGAAAACTACAGCAAACCGTTTTATAAATTTTATTGCAGAATCCTAAAAACTAAAGATGAACATTTGGAATGGCTTTTATTCAAATTTTGGATGAAATTAAAAACAAAGTTATTTTCAATATTCAAACAAGATTCATGTATAAACCAGAATCAATTCTCACCTATTTAAATAACGATACAAACTTGATGACTCCATCTCCCACCTCTTCTCTTCTCTCTGCCTTTCACAACGAAGAACAACCATAGCTACCACCACACTTGGTCATATCCTTTCACTCATCACTCTCTACGTCTACTAACACATTTTTACCCCCACAAGCTTTTCGCTGCAAAATTTGATGGTGAAATTTAACATCTCGGCTATCTGTGAGATCTCCACAACCACGAAATAGACTTTAGAAAAACCAAACACTTTCTGAGCATCCATAAAATACACTCAATAGGACATCAACAAATAGACTCTAATAAACTCATAACCACTTTCGTTATCATCTTATTCATTCCACTTTTTCATATCAAATTTAAAAGTACTCATCAAAATCAAATTAAACTAGCGACCAAATTTGAGGAAGAATTAAGAAGAAGAGAGACGAGGGAGAGAAAAACTGAGAAAGAAAGAGTACCCTAAACTCATTCTGAACCTTAACTTAGTAGGGAGAAGTGTGATGGAGAGATATGGCGGAGTTATAGTGGCTGAGATTTTTTTTGGGTCTATGAGGGATTATTTCCAAGCTATAAAGTTGAAAAAAATAATGCACGACCTTTTTCCAGAGGAAGAAAAAAACATGGTAGGGTGTGTTTTTTTAATTTGTACGTCCAACTCAACAATAAAAAAATTGCTATGTGAGTTTTAATATGACTTGGAGGTCCGTTAGTGTGAGGGGTAAGAATGAGCCAAAAAACTAACGGCAAGGACTTTTTTAATACCAAAAACTAACGGAGGGTAAAAGTGATTTATTATGGATAGTGCAAGGTTATTTTTGGCCCTTTTCCCTTAAAATTATGCAAATTTAGCTTTTGAACTTATTCTTTCCGGATAATGTTAGACTCGTATCTACTGTTTGCTCATAGTTTTTAATTTGCTCACAAATATTAGACTGTGGTCTACCATTTGCAATAACCTACAAAATCTTAGATTGTGGTCTAACATTTTTTCATAAAATTTTCAGTTTGCTCAAAAAGAATTTTTAGACCAATCTATGTCCATCATTTTTTTTAAAAAATAAGGAAAAATTTATTTATTAGACAACTGATACGAAAGGGATAACCTGCAAAAATTTCACCACTACAATGGCTATGGTTTTGGTTTTTTGCCCACTATCAATACGATATTTTACTTAGGAATATATTCCCAAAAGCTTTGTGATAGATGCAATTCCATTAGCTAAAGACGGACTCTTTCATCTTCTCATGCATTATATATATATATATATATATGTATGTATTTTTTTGTTTTAACTATATTGTTCAAACTAACTTGTGTACACGTGAACTATTACCACAAATATGAATAGTATAGTCCACACCCGTTACCACAAATAATGATATTCTGCATCCACGTACTAAAATCCTGATTTTGGTTATTAAATAATAAAGCAATGTTTTAACGAGCAAAATTGAAAGCGCTGGTATAGCTTACAAAGAGGAGCTAGTAGAAAAGACATATTGATAATAGCACGTTATTTCTTATCCTCGAATGGTTTTTCCGATTGCAATGATGAATAACAACTAAACCTGTTAATCAACACCAAGTGCTGGTCTAAAGTGGCAAGCATGCAATAACTTATTCAATATAGTCCAATTTACATTACCAAACAAAGAAGAGAACAGTTAGAAAGCAAGTTCACAAGAGAAAAATGCAGTAAATTTCATATGTATTATACTAAAAGCCTCAATGAAATAGAGGGTATAGAAACTTCAAATGGTTATATACTCGTCTGATTGTCTGGTTGGGAAACAAGTTATCTCAGGATTAATAATTGTTATCCCACCCTCCCATATAAATATAAATAAAACTACAATCCCGGGATTAATACCTCTGTACCAAACGAGCCCTATATGAATTCACAAAATTCCTCTTGCATTCCAACCCAACCCCCTCTCCACCCAACCCCTAAACCCTCAAATACAATGGCGACACTTTTATAGCATAACCCTAGGGATCATAGTGTGTATTTATGCAAAGACAATCTCAAGTCAGTGTGTTGAGAATGATTGTGCTCTTATTATATGTACACATTTTGAACTTTTTTGCATACGTACACACATAGTTCGACCCGAAAGCAATGAGTTAAGTTGAACCCCCAAAACCTGCCCCGGGTCCACCATAGTATTTATGTTTGTTACACTAGCATAAGAACATAAAATGAAAATTTAAAAGGAGCAGAGCAAACAAGTACTTGTAAAATCAACATTAACGAATGTATCAACTATTTACTGCTTGTGGCTAAGAGCCAACAAATTCTTAGGAGGTTAACTTGTGCAGATTCTAAAAACCTAAGCTTCTTCACAATCATTTGTTTCTATTTACAGAATGGAAATGCAAACAGCAGATATAGACCATGATGAGGTTAATGAGAATGATAACTACCAATGTATAGATAATGTGAAAGAGCAAGAATAATCTATATTTAACCGAGATCAATGTCAACCCGCTCCGGGATTGCCCTTTCGGTTTGGTTGGCACTGAGCTCCACACCTAGCTGTCCTTTATCGCCAGCGCCAAATGCATAAAGCTTACCAGTTTCTGTCAATGCAAATGTATGGGCATTCCAGTATATTGAATTAGTGAGACTTATCTGCACCACTCTTTCATTCAGCTGCTTCAATGATGTTACAACCTCAGGGAATAAAACATTTGAGTGCCTGTTACCCTGAAATTCGGAACGGTCATTTTGTAAACGAAGAGTTAGAAGAACTCAATGTTAAGGACAACTTTTAACATTTGGACTTGATATCCAACAGGATCAATGTTCAGGTGGCCACCCTATGTCAATACAAGATATTGAATGTTTTCATCTATGTTGCGCAGACTCTCCAAAATGATGCCGCACCCATGTCGGATCCTCCAAAAATACACTATTTTTGGAGGATCCGACAAGCACCCAATAACATTTTCGGAGAGTCCGAGCAACATAGATTTTCATATTACTAGTCAATCCAAATCTTATGCACTCGAACACAAGAAAAATATTCAATAGGGAAGGGAAAAGAGAAACCAAAGTTATGAGAAGGCCAAACCTGTTCTTCAGCTACAGCAGTATTATGTCCTAGACTAGATGATTCTCCACAACCAAATGAATAAACATTTCCTTCATCAGAAACCACAAAGGTCGTATAATCCCCTGTGGCAACATAAATAGCCTTCACATTGCTTAGTGCTTCCACTACCTTAGGTGCTGCTTCACAATCTTCATTACCGTGACCCAAGCACCCGTAACGGCCCCAACCCCATGTACAAACTCTTCCATCTTTCCCAACAACTGCGGCATGCCAAGCCCCAGCCGCAACAACTGCAGGTTGAAGATTCAACGTCTGAAATTGTTCAATTAACCTTGGGACCTTTTCATCAGTTCGCGCTCCGTGACCTAGCTTTCCACCCAATCCACAACCAACAGAATACACAGACCTGATGTTGGCCAAAAGAAGATGTCAAAGAAAATTCTGAGAATCATTTATTAATAACACATTTGTGACTTATCTCAAGACAATGAAACAGTCTTTCTAAAAGATGAAAATGGAGCTTACATGCCACTAGGTTGACAAGCCAGAGCAAGAAGGTAGCAATATCCTGCTGCAATTTGCACGACTGGAATATTCTCTAATGCGCCTAATAATGCACGGGGTTCCATATCAGCTGGTTCAGTTTGATGACCAAGTTTAGTTTCATTCCCCCAGGAGAATGTATAAACCCTTCCTTCTCTTGATAATACGGCAGTGAAGAAATTCCCAATCGCAGCTTGTACAACAAAGATGTCTTTTAAAGATTCTACCAGCTGAGGAGTAGTCACTACTTTATTTCCTTGGCCACCATACTCAGCTTCGCCGAACGAGTCTTTGCCAAAAGCATACACCCTCCCGGCGTCACTAATCAGCATAGTCCGGCCAGCCCCTACAGCGGCCTGAATAACGCGAATGCCTTGAAGCGATCTAGAAAATAAAATGCTCTATTAGTTCTCCCTGCATTTCTCAACTCGCTTGCTTTACAGCTTGAGATAGATAAAGAAAATTAGCAAACCTAATCGGATGAGGCCGCCATTCCTCTTCTGTAGTTCCATTTCCAAGCTGCCCTGAGCTGTTAGACCCAAATGAGTAGGCAACTCCGATTGAACTCACGGCAATACTATGACCGGGGCCAGCTACAGCGTGTGATTTTTCCCGCCTAGAACATGCTTCCCCGGCTAGCAGAAATCTTAGAACAAGCTTCCAGGAGCCGCCACATCTTTGCTTTAGATCTTGACGTTGCTCCTGAGTCATTGGCTTAAATATAGCTCTCTTTCGGCACATATCAAGAGCTGCCAGCTCTGCTAAGGAGAGCTCATTATCGGGTGCAAAGTTTGCAGGAAGCCGAAAGAAGGAGCAGGTAGCCTGCAATACACATTATAAAGGAAATCAGCAGCACCATCAATTCTAAGACAAATCAATGATTTAATAATTGTACAACACCTAGTAAATAAACACTTGCCTCTAGAGTTGCAAGGTCTTGTGGATCCAAATTACATCCAGTAAGTACATGAAGAACGATAGACGGGTTGGCTGACAATGGGAATTCGCCAGGAGTCGCATTCCCAAAGCAGTGCCGCACTTGTCTTTGAAACGTTGACGCGGGGGTGGTTACAATAGTAGCAATTGGTTGTTCAGCAATGTTATGGTATTGAACACTCGAGGTTCCACTCATTGAGGCGTCCATGGGCACTGCTAAAATTCTGCAGTGCCCAAATTAGGCAATGGGACGATTTCTAAATCACTATAAGAAAAACCAAAAAGGACATACATATTACACTCAGAGCTAAATTCCAAAAATTATATAGAAAAGTTTCCATATTTAGCAAGTACAAATGCAAGAATCTTATTGTCGAGCACTTTTACCTTAAATTAGAAGCTGATCACAAAACTTCAAGCCTCAGACCTACACAAAAGGGCAATAGAAATTATCATCACTCAACATTAGATTGATCAACAAAGATTTAACTCAAGCGAAGAAAAGCATATGATAACAGAAACTTAAAGTCAAGAGGTACAGTAATTTAGAGCAACAAGCAACAGAGACAGAGTCTACAAGAAAGCCAAAGGTAACTGTAACGTGAAGAATACCAAAATACCAATCCCTCTGCATAGGATATTCCACCCTTAAAAGAAACCCCACAAAGAAATTCTAAATCAAAATTGATGATCAATCACTTAACATCAAAATTCTAAATCAATTGACATAATAAAGTTTTGATCTTTATTGTGCCATAGGTCTAGACCATCAGATGATCCTAATTCATCATCCAAACCAATAGATAAGTGAGAATTATATGGGTAACTCTGAAAGCCTGTGTACATTTTGATCATCAAAGATCCAAGAAGAAGAAGAAGAAGAAAAATTATTACATGAGAAAGAGCCTCAAAGATTTCTCAAAACCCATGTGAATTTATCTATAAAATTCTGATCAAATTCACAAGTAACCAAGTGGGTATTAGATTCAAAAACGATAATTAATCTGCTTGTTTGGACTTTGGATAATGATATAAAGCAGGAAAATAGGTGATTTGATTTGATGGGGTGGTGTTTTTCTTGAAGAATTAATATATGAAGAATAATTATAATTATTATGCTTAAAAATAGGATAGTTCAGCATTTATTATAGTTATAGAATATAAAGGTGGAAACCGAAGGGAAAGATGATGAGGTGTCTCACCCTTTGCTTATATATATACTGACACCCACACATTGCAATTGCATATGACATATCAATCATCATTTCATTTCAAAAGACACAGGTTTCTTTTTGCACGTCAGCTTTTTCTTACCTTGCGGTAACTTAGACAAATTTATTGAAATTTTTCTATTAGTGAGTGCGGCACGAATTCAAAAGGTATATATCAAATTTTCTATTATATTTAAAAATTAAATTGGATGATCTTAGTTAATTATCCTGGTATAAATTTTTGAATTCCATTAGGCATGGCCTAATTGTTCTTTAGCTTGATTGAAATTAGGGGCACATGTGGATCAACTATATATATATATATATATATATATATATATACGGGTCTATATAAATCCAAACTTATTTACTATTGTATATTAATTTGAAATCGTTATAGAAACGCATATAACTTTAAATTTGATTCTAATTATTTGGAATAAGAAGTGTTATTTAGTAAAACCAAACGCCTAAGCACATGGTGATGTTGTTGATGTAGATAAGGAGTGAAATCTAAGCAGGATTCTAGGAACACGGGCTTTTGGGCTTTCATCCTACCAAGAATTTTGTACCATGCAAGTTAGGAGCTTACCTTAGGCAACTATGATAATTTTACTAGTTTTGAGAGTCTTGTGTTTTGCTCCTTATTTTTTTTAAGGAAATTACTAGTTATGTCCGCTATTTAGTACAAAAATTAGTCAATTAGTGATATTATTAATATTAACTATATACTACCAATATTAGTTAATTAGTTATTTGTAGCAAAAAAAAAAGTCAAAATTTTGTTTTCTTCTGAGTGGGTGTTGTTGGAAATAGATAGGGTACATCTTAAGAAATTTAAAACTCAATTTGAGATGATTTGGTGGNTATATATATATATATATATATATATATATATATATATATATATATATGTGTGTGTGTGTGTGAAATACATGCGTGATACAAGTTTGATACATGTGTCAAAAAATTTAACTCGATTTTAACTACGAATTTTGATACAAAACCAATTCAAATCACCTCCAATCTTGCTCAAATTTGTATATTGCCCCACCTATATGTTTTCAACGAATTCCAACCATACCCATTGAAAAAAATCCTTTTTTGCCTAAATTTTTTAATATTGTATATCATTGATAATGAATTTTAACTTCAAACTAATCCAACTCACCTTTAAACTTCGTCAAAATTTGTATATTGCATCATCTATGTGTTTTTAACGAATCACAACAATACCTATTGAAAAAGAAAAAAAAACATTTTTTGCCTATGTATTTTGAATGTATGTCATTGATAATATTTTTGGCTATTTTTGATAACATGACTAAAGTGATTATTATTGATAAATAGTGTCTTTTTTAATACATTCCCGTAAGATTCCCTTTCTTTTTCCTTTTGCTAATTTTTTTGAGTCAACATATAAGTTGGAATATCAGCCTCAAGACGTATTGTTTAGTGGTATCGCTCGAGAGTGTTCTACAAAATAAGCGCGAGTTCGATGCTCACTGTCTCTTCCCTTTACATTGTAATAGGAATTTTTTTATTTTCCAAAGAAAAGTAGGAGTATCTGTTTATATAGTAGTAGCCATAAGATTAATGTGAATATACTCATGTCACTTCGATTCACATAATCACATTGTGACTTTTTAACTATCTTTATAAGAATGTTTTGTTAGTTACTCATGGTGTCAGCTTTCCTTGACAAATTGAGTGGAGGAATTTGAAAATTTTAATATATTTTATCATTTTTTTTCCTACTCCGTCCTATTTTAGAGGGTGCTTTAAAGTCGGTTTGATCAACTTTTAAGCTAAGAGGGTGTTTGGATTGATTTTTAAGTTGGTCAAATCAGTTTTTAAACTCTTTTTAATTTTTTTCAGTGATTAGCAAAGTTAAAAATGCTTAAAATAAATTTAAAATTGTTTAAAATAAGCCTAAAGCAATAAGCTGAACAACCCTAACTTATTATTTTTTGGCTTAAAAGCTACTTATACTGAAAAACTACTTTTTTAAGCCAATCCAAACGGGTTCTAAGTCAAATACCCTCTTCAAAACAATTACCCTCTAAGCCAACATCTTTCAGCAGAGGAATTTGCTTAATTTTGCTATCTTTTGTGTTTAAAAAAAAACCCTACAAAGCTGCTACACAAGGGTCAAAATTTTGCTCACAAAAACACCTTGACCTCCTTCGGTTTAGTTGTTTTATCCGAAAAATGAATAGAGTTAAATTTGTACGTAGTTCTAAGGATATGTGGTATAGCTTAATACAAACCGTAAGGACAAATAGAAATATTAAATATGGATTGCAAAGGGTACAAAGTAAACACGGTTGTAAAGAAGATGATTTTTTAGGACTAAACATGTTGAACCAATTTATGAAGCTTAGAAAAATAACTCTTCTCTATATGATAATATGGTGCTTGAATTACAATGTAAAAAAACTAGTCCCTTACAGAAATCATAACCATTCCCTTTATAGTAGAGGGACCTTACTTTAAATATAATTAAAAATACATAGTGGGAGACCTATGATAAATCAGCTTTTCCATAATTCCTGCCAGGATTCTCTCCTCTAGTGGGATTGCAACGGCTCTTGTCTGTAAGCTCGATATTGACTCGAGTGTTCGGTCTCGACTCGAGCTCTCGATCTTGACTTGAGCTCGATTCTAACTCGGATCCTTGCATTGGTTCGGGGTCAGGGTTGGTCGGTCTCTGAATCATAAGCTCGATAACTTTACTTTGTATCATAGTTCGATTCGGATTCGAGCTTGATAATGATATCGAGCTCGAAAATTGACCGGTCCCTCGGGCTCGAAGGTTGTTTGTACCATCTTCGAAACCCATTTTGAAGTCTTACTCCGATCTATTACGTTTTGACCTCGACCGATCGTACGAAGGCCAAAAATCTATTTCGACCGTATATAGATAGTCCCCTCATTTCTCGGGAAGGATGTGGTAAGAAACGATATGATTTTTCAACGGCTCGATCGGATTATAAGTTGACGTTTACATTGGGTTCGACCATGACGTACGTGATAGTTGTCCCATCGATTTAGTCTTTCAAGGCATTTAATGCTTGTCAGACGGTGGTCGGCCACCGCTGATACTGAACCGCAATTGCTTTAATCTATAAATAGCCCTTCCTTTTATCATTTACCACTTTTACATCTTCAATCTTCCAAATTCCCTAAGTTCTTTTTCGTTCTCTCTCAGTTTATTCGCAAATCTGTGATTCTTCTTTTCAAGATTCTTCTTCTAAACCACCAAATCTTTGTTACTTTTTTTTTTAAAATTTAAAATGGTGAAAACATCAAAGATCGTCCCCCAAAGAGACAAAGCTTCTTCTTCCCAATCCGCCGCCGACTAAACACCGGTGGATCCACGGCCTGAAGAGTGCGTTCCGACGGCATGTGTTCTTACCTCCGATTTCAAACTCGATAAAGGTTCGCAGGTCCCTGGCCGGTATGAGCCCGTATCGAGATATATTTGTTCGATAACCCGGGAGCACATCGATCGGATAAAAAAGGATTGTAACTGGGAGAATAAAGAAGTAGTAGTGCCGTCTCCCGAAAAGTATATTACTACTCACGTGAGAGGGTTTTAAGCGTGTATACTTACCCTTTTATGTTAGGTCCCCTCGACCCCGTTATCATAGATTTTTGTCGCAAATACCTAATAACCCTAGGCTAGATACATCCTTCCTTTTGGCGGATCGTTATTTTGATCCGATATTTTGTGAGTAAAATCGAGGGGATGCCTTTCACCCTCGATCACCTTATCCGATTATACCGTCCTCGCCTTTTTTGAGGAGGGTTAATAAAACTCCAACGTCTAGCTACCAAGGCTCTGTTCTCGAGTATAGATGAGGATAAGGATTGAGGCTGGATTGGCAGATTCGTTCGAGTAAGGACTTCGGACCTGATTCCGATCGAAAAGATGCCTTTTCCAGAGGAGTGGAACATGAAGCGTAAGTGTAATTTTGCTGTTATCTCCTACTATTTTATCCTTTCATTTCCTTCACCAATATTCTCTTTTTGTGATGCAGTGGTTCCCTGGATGCCCGGCACAGTGCCCGATCTCAAGAACTAGGTACGTGTTCTAGTTTTGACCTCCTCCTACGCCGAGCGCTCATGGCGCGACTTGTCGAAGGGTCGATGGGAGGCCAAAAATCACGGTAAGCACATTTTTCGTATCTTTTGATAATTTGAATAAAATATTTTTCACAGACTTTAATAAAATTTTCCGTGTATAGGTGTGGGCAAAGATGTGATTTTGAGGCCCTCATCCATCGAGGAAGAGGCTTCGGCCTCTGTCCCAAAGCCGGTGAAAGATAACAAGAGGAAAAGAGCCCCCGTCCTCGAAGATCAGAAACTGAAGAAAAGGACGGCTCGTAAGCCGAAGAAGAATGTCATTCCTTTGACTGTAGAATCAGTTCTGCATCTGAGGGATGAAGAAGAAGAAGAAGAATAAGAAGAAGAAGAGAACAACGGGTCCTCGCTGGCGGCCCGAACGAAGAAGACCACCGATGTTCCACAGGCAGCTGGATTGATGGTGGTTCATAAGGCTCCGCCTCGAACTGAGGATATATCAGAGAAAGATTCGGGCAGAGTCCCCGAGTTGTTGGAGATCGAAGACGCTTCCCATCGAAGCCAATGGATGGGGGATATATCTGAAGGGACTCTTCTCGAATCTTTTCGAACCGAAGAGAATGCCCCATGTGATTCACTTGGGGCAGTAGCAATCGAAAACTTGCCCACCTTTCCTGCTTTTTCCACAAGGGCAATTCGGGAGGCCCAAGCTTTGGGGGCCCTCGAATTAGATAGGCCTCATGATGGAGAGGATCCTTTTCGTGACCTGTTTATCGGTGTCGAGGACACTATCGGTACGAATGACGGATCAGATATTTTTTACGGAGTGCAGCAGGCTTTGATTCAGGTAAGCCTTAAATTATATGGCGTTACCTTTAAGT